GGTAAAGCACTAACTACACTAAAAGCAGGTGGTACACAGCTAACTCATAGGAAAAATTCTTACTTTATCTAGGAAATCATTAGCTTCTAAATGCTGTACACCACTCGTCTTATTTAGCTGAAACAATGTCGCATAGACTTATCAAAAACGAAAACAAAATGGCACCAGAGAGGTGACCATGCAGTGGCGGGCGACGCCCCAGAAATGCAATAAAGTTGCTTGAATTATACTTCTTAGGTAAATAGTATCAAATTTAGCTGTAGCGTGGAATGATTATTGAGTAGGCTACTGTATAACTTACAGATAATAATATCAAAACCTGCTTTTTACTAGACAGTCACTAGGTTTTTTAAGAAATATTTGTATTGGTCAAAAAGGATAAAAATATATATTAAAAGATCCGGAGGATCTATACCTCCAGCTAAGATTATAAGAAACAGCTGGGCACACAAAGCTGGGCACACACTGGGTCCTCAGGTTCCCGTGACAAACGAATTTCCAATGGAAATTTCCCGGGCAAAATGGCTGCAATGGCGGACACGAGGTGGATCTTGTTGGTCACGTATTCCAACTTTCCCGGTGGTTTTAGTCCGTTGAAGGGTCGCGTTGAATTCTTGGCACCTCCAGCGAGTTATAGGCGGTCTGTGTAGTTATGTAGAATGTTCAGACTAGCTGTAAATACACAAAAATAAAGTTATTTTTCGGAGCTCAATTTTTCCGTCTTACACTTTGCGCATGCGCTCTCTCCTCTAGATATATATATTCAGTAGACTAGGGATTACATTAGATCTATGCATAATTTACTTAATACTACTTGAAAATTGTTTTTAAGGCTTTATTTATTGCGATTTCTAAAGAACACTAAATTTCACAAATAATCTGCCATGATGGGAGTGGTTACAGAAATGGGCCAGAAGTCATATTTTTACAAAAATATCCACTAGACTAATTCTTAGTCTATATGTTTCAAGAAAATGAAAATACACATATCAGTCAAGAATATTTTGAATTTTTTTTTTCAAAAATCTATAATTGCATTTTCATGAAATTTTCTAAGTCGCTAACGCTCGTTGTTCACATCCGTCAACAGGGGGGGGGGGGGTAGGTGTAAATATTTTCGAAAGAAATGCGTGATATATACACATATTTTGTACCAAATGTGTGACATAAATGGCAATCGCGTGCAAAGTCCGAACAGAATGCGTTCGCTTTTTTTCGCCGTTCAGGTTTTTTACCGTGTCGGCATTTGTCAAAAAACAAAAATGCGTGATATTTGATCATACACGCTGAATTGATGCGTGATTTCTATTTTTCCAGCGAATGTGTGACAATCACGCCTAATGCGTGAGGGTTGACAGGGCAGCTTACATACATGAACCTCTGAAAGTGAAACAACTTCCAAATGGAACACTATTTTGAGGTACCAACGTCGATGTTGCACTTAAATAGGTTTTAATGAAGTATTCCATTTAATTATTTTTTTTGGAAGATTTGCCAAAAGGCTCAGTGCCAAGTTAAGTGTCAAGTTAAATGATATCATAAGGAAAATCCATGTGAAAATGATTTAAACAGAAATGATGTCATTTCTGCTTGTACGTTTTGTGAGTTTGCCTCTGAATTCCTAAATGACAAATCAATATAAATAGCATATGTAACATGCCCGGGCAAATAGGGGGGGGGGTGTATAGAGGGTCTTGGAAATGCATATACAATATTTTTCAGCTCTCTTATACCATATACAATATTTTTTCACCATATACAATATTTTTCACAGCTCTTATACCATATACGATATTTCAGGTGAAATACAATATACGATAATTTTGAAACTGCTTTTGATTAAAGTTTGGATATTTATAAGGAAATAATAATATATTAGGAGAAAATCCATGTAAAGTAGATGTATTATTATAAGGCAACTAGACTCCACATACATACCACAATGATTTCATTTATTTCATTATGAATTAGACACCATTCGGGTACATCAGCATCAGAAAAGCTGTGACCACATTTTATTTTCAGGTAAACAAGTTGATTTAAAACACATTTAAGATATAAGATTCATGACTTCTCTTTAGTGATTTAGCTACCTACTTTGACCAAAAAAACTAACTATGACATTGCTGCAATTTGCTAAAGCCATTAGCCCATTACCTGTAAAAGTACCATAAAGATATTCAAAATTAGCACAAAACCTGCATCATTGGAATGGGTGGAACCCAGTGCTCCTCTTATGACCTATACTTTCCCATGACTTATTTAAATGTCCTTCATAGTGAGCCAGGGAAAAAAATTCTTGAAACATAATTGATGCAAAATTGTTGAATAAAAGATTCATCATGTGTTCTATGAAAATAAAGTTTGCTGAGGAAAATATTTATCAGATAGATAATGAAGATTCACAATGCACAATAATTTTGTAAAGCAGTTACCTGGAAAATATTAAGTATTTAAAACAGTTTCAGAAATAAAGGACTTCACAAACTTCCATGTAGATAATTCATTTTTGATTGGACTCGAGTCTGGAAACTAGAGTTTGAAATAAAGGCAAGATGAGACTTGATTGTTTAAACATTTGAAACATGAGACACTTCGGGGTTCAGATAAGGCAGCCTCAAAGACAGTATAAGTTAAACAAAGGTGTGTCAAAATTAAGCAAATTTCCATGAAGGTCAAACCACATGTTTCACAAATGATTTCAAGGCAAAGATGTATTGATGAGAATGAAAACTACTCTATGTAACTAGAAATAACTTTCTTTTAAAGGACCACGGACGGTATCGCAACAGATTTCAGTCATATATTGGATTTTGGCTATTTTCTGAGGATTTGAACAGGTGCATATGTTAGGCCAATGCATTAACTCCAGGACAAGCAGTCATAGAGATTATAAAATAATTTGGACTTTAAGACAGGGAAGGTGCAAACACCCCATCAACATGTTTTTCTGTAATGTTGTCCTGATTTCCAGCCCTTTCCACACCTGTTTTTCAATGTTTGTTGCATCGATCACTCTGTTGCGTTTTAAGACATGGTTTTAAAAGATCTTTAAATGAAAATATGATTCATGCAGGGGTTTTAAAGATATCAATTTTGGATGACCAAAATTAAGCTGAAAACAATGGATCACATGAGTTTTCCCTATGGGAAAATAACATGGGAAATACATGTACTGTTTTCCACTTTATCCCAAATAAATCATATTTTAGAGGTTAACTGTGTCTCAAAGTGCAACATATTGGTGCATCAAACATTGAAAAAACATATGTGGAAAGGGCTGAAAATAAGGACAACATTTCAGAAAAACCTTCCCTGTCTCAAAGTTCAAATTATTTTATTACCTCTATGAGTGCTTGATCTGGAGTTAATGCATTGGCCTAACATATGCACCTGTTCAAATCCCCAATAAATAGCCGAAATCCAACACATGACGGTTTGAAGACCAAATAAACACCTTTTGCTATATTATGCTATATTAGCATTGTGATGCTTGTATTAAAACATGCGCTGTATGAACACTTTATACTCAAATATTTTCATGATTTATCCCACATACCCTGAAACACGAGTAGCCATTGTGACCATATTTTTCATCAAAGTTAAGATGGTCAATGACATTTGGCAGTCTCACGCCCGGTGATCTGATGAAATGAACGGAGGGGGAGTAGCTGATTTTCGGTAAATTCAACAAATGTTGAAGATTTATTTTTTCAAGCAAAAGTTTACAATTGAATGGCTACATGAATAGGTGCAGTGCACAGGGAAATATGTTAGGTCTTCTTGGATTCTTTTGAACTGATGGAGTTCTAAGATAAAAGGTCTATTAAAAAAGGCGCAGCGTCGCCAACGTGCAAATGCCAATGTTTTTGCTATAAATCAAGCAACAATGGTCTGCATGACATGTAATACATATATAAGCGACATTTTTATATCACAAAATTCATTGCCGGTTTTTTAAAATAATTTTCTAAATGATAGATAAAAAATAATCGAAAATAATTAAAATTGAACGGAGGGGGGAGTGAACGGAGGGGGTGGAGTAAAATGTCTTTAAGGTGGAAGAAATGTCCACAAATTCGTGTACTTGAAAAATGAACTCACTTACTCAGTAACTTGATGTTACAACTCTGAAAAGTGAAAAATGGGGACATATGGATTTATTGGAAGTTTTCATATGTCTTATAGACAAATTACTCCCCCCCCCCTCCATTCAATTTAAATAATTTTCGATTACTTTTTATAAAACGTATGGTAACATGTTTTACAAAACCCAATAGTTTTGTGATAATTACTTCACTTACAAGTATTTATTACAGGTCGTGGAGACCCCTGTTGGTTAATTTATAGCAAAAACATTGGCATTTGCATGTTGGCGACGCTGCACTTTTTTAATAGATCTTTTATTTTAGAACTCCACAGTTAAAAAAATCCAAAAGGACCTAACATATTCCCCCGTCCACTGCGTCTATTCATTTAGCCATTCAATTGTAAACTTTCTCTTGAAAAAATAAATCTTCAAGATTTGTTGAATTTTCTACCGAAAATCAGCTAGATCTACTTCCCCCTCCGTTCATTTCTTCTGATCACCGGGCGTGATTCTTATTTGAGACTGTGTTTAACACCTCCTGTGAAAATTTGAATGAAAAGGGCACAAAACTCTTAGTTTGAGAGGGATTTTCTCTAAACTAACAGTATCGATTGACCTGGAATTTGAAAACAATTATAGAGACTACTTTTCCATGTTTTTCCAACACGGTTACAGTAAGAGAGTTGGCACAATGGGGGAACTTTAGGGTGCAATTTCTTCATAATTAGCCTTCTTTAATTCTAGATACCATATACCATATTTTCTAAAATACCATATACCATATTTTTTACACCTCTTATACCATATACGATAAATTTTGCCCCCTCTTATACAATATACAATAAATTTTCAGCCTCTTATACGATATACAATATCTCTTTACACCCCCCCCAATAGGAGATCATTTAACCAATTTCTGGACTTGTAAGCCATAATTCAAGGCCATTCAAGCAAGAATTTTCCGTTTCACAAACATAGCTAGCATATTAATAGCAGTTTTCTATGGATAGAACTGAGTAATTCTGTAAGAAATTATGGAAAAATCTGAACATTTTTGCAAGGGATTTATGGTGTAAATTGTAGGAGACCTGCCCCTGGAATGTAAAGACCTTTGGCAAATATCTAGCCAGGAATTATTTGTATACATACATATATGGATTTATTCCTAATAAAGTAGATCTGGAACAAGTTAGTGACATAATTGATGATCCCCAGAAAGAAATAATTATAAGTACTATTTAACAGACCAGTCATTTCAAAACACAATGAAGATCAATACATTAAAAAGGTAAAGATAACACTTAACCATAGTAAAGGTTCATATGTAGAGTTATAGATTTTTAAGGTGAAAGTGCATGCCATATTTAAGTAAATTATTAGATATGTAGGTTTCCTGTCAACATGATTGATTTTCTGTTTTGATTAGGTACATGCTCTTTGTATTAATCAAGGTTATGCCCAGAGTGGCAAAGACAACCAATAGAAGGTGTGTGTCTATGATCTGTTATTCTGAGAAACTAGAAAAGGGGCTGCTCCTGCTGGAGACACTATGCAATCATGTTACTGTAATAACATTATCTACTTATTTTATCACGCGGTAGTATCTCTTCGGGACGTATCGAAACCACTCCGTCCCGAAAAAACCGTTAATTTGAATTTAAAACCTACCCCAGTGTTTGAAAATCAAGGATTGTGAGTCTCACACTTCACCGTTTTTCTTCAAACTTGTTCCGTACAAAGCTTCACAGAAATACCTTTCAGTCGATACATTGTTTTCGTGTACAAAGTACCTCGTTTTAGCGGCGTTTTGGTCCCCAACTGTGAGATAAAGCAAATTTTCATAACTTTCAACTGTAAGTCAAGTTATCTCGTCAGTCTTTTACCCATTCTCGCCCATGATTTCAGAATGGACTCCCATTACAACCTTCCATCGCTACGTCTTGATTTTTGGGCATCAAACGCAGCAGTTTCTAAATCATCCACACATCTCTTCAAATTTGACCAATACGTCCCGTCATCTTCCACTAATAGATAGACTCGGCGGGGCGTAAAACGAGGTACTTTGTACACGAAAACAATGTATCGACTGAAAGGTATTTCTGTGAAGCTTTGTACGGAACAAGTTTGAAGAAAAACGGTAAGGTGTGAGACTCACAATCCATGATTTTCAAACACTGGGGTAGGTTTTAAATTCAAATTAACGGTTTTTCGGGACGGAGTGGTTTCGATACGTCCCGAAGAGATACTACCGCGTGTTTATGGAAGAGATTTCTGCAGAGGGAGATAATGGAATAATGCTAACATGTCTATTTTCAATAAGAGGTGATTCCTTCAGGAGAATTATAGGATATCCTATGATTTTGAGGAATATCATTTTTATCTACGAGGTGATATTGATATCTGCACGAGAGAGCGAAGCGAAAGAGTGCATATATCAATATCACCGAGTAGATTAAAATGATATTCTGAAAAAAATCATAGGATGTTCTTATTATACTACACTTACAAAAGGAGTGTAGTGAATGTATAATATCATTGTAAAATGAATTTCATGCCAAATAGAGTCTCAATTTGGCGTGAAATCAACAAGCAGAGTATATCGTCACAATATCCTCCGCATATTGGGTTTTCCGGAGTATATCATCACGATATCCTCCACCCGGAGTATATCGTGATGATATCCTCCGGATATTCATTTTGCCCATAAATATCAAATTTATTTTTTAATGTTATTATACATTTAGTACACTAAGTGTAGGATAATGCTTATTATTATGCAGAAGACAACATAGCAGATATAAAATAACATGTATCATATATATATATCTTACCAAATGAATGTTAAAGCTTTTACATAGATGTTGTTGGAATTAATTTTACATTAGATAGCATATGTGACATGTATGCACCTCAGCTGCTAATTGGGAGTTCAACTAGTGTCTATGTATTTGTCTAATTAGCACATACTCATTACATGATCATACATAATACATTTTATATTATTTGTATTTTAATTGATTGAACTTATAATTTATTCAGATGGGATGATGAGACATTCACACTTGACTTGATTATTTTTATACTTCCAGATATGCTATAACATGGAGCTAAGATAATGGAAAACAAAGTGAAGACAGATTTGTACGGTTCAGATACAATGAAGGACAGCATATTCAAGCTGAAAGATACCTTCGGAAAAGATGGCCCTAGCGCAATTACGCCAAACCTTTTTGGCCATCGATATGACAATCACATATGTCCAGACTGTGGCCAACTTCATGAAATTAATGGAACACATTTATATGACTACTCCGCCCAAGTTGATGAAGATTTAGTCTGCTATATATGCTTACAACCCCTGGTGGTGCCCGTTGACACTAAATGTGGGCATACTTATTGCTCATCATGCCTCAGGAACTTTTTGAAGGTTCAGAAAATTTGTCCCGTTGACAGACAGCACCTAACATGGAGAGATTGTAATGAAGCCAGCATTATGGTCAAAAGGTATGTTCAAATATATGTTCTGAGGTTTGTTTTTTGTTTGAGTTTAGAGGTTTGCATGATTACACTGTAAAGATTGAGTGTTCATAGTCTTCAAGTATTGCCCAATTGGATGTCTGATAAGATCAATATTATCTGTCAGTTTCTATCTTTTCAAATATTATGGGTAAGATCTGATAATTTTCTACTTATTATTAAAAATTTGATTTTTTAAAAACATTGGGACATTTTTCAAGTACTGTAAGTATGTTTATACTGCAGTACAATATACAATTATTGACCTCTCCAGAGGTTTACTGTCAAAATTATATCCCGAGACTGTAAACCGAGACTGTAGGTCGAGGTTTACAGTCGAGGGATATAATTTTGACAGTAAACCGAATGGAGAGGTCTATAATTGTTTTGTTAGTCCGAAGAATATCTTAGATTTTTCTGACCCTTGAAGTTGACTTGAAGTTGGATCCAGACCCTCGAGATCTACATCTGCCACGGCAGTAAGTTCACTCAATGGAGTCAAATTACTCTCCTGGGCGAAGTCCACTAAAAGCTTTGTACAAAGTTTTAGATTTTTCTTCGTATTTTGACTATCTTTACTCTCTAAGAGACTAATAATATCCTCATCTTCAACATTTTTGAAACGGCTAGTGCTAGCGGCGGCCATTTTATCGTCTGATAATGACGTCATTTTAGTGGAATGCTGGGAATATTATTCACCGGCAATGCATTGCGCGGTGTACAGTTAAAATTATTCACCGCTCGTTGACCAATCAAAATCGAGTATTTCAACTGAGGTACTAACAACATCAATTATTACCAACACAACTTGTAGTTAATTGAGACAGAATCATTCTGATTTATCAGAGTCCCTCTTTACCTAACGTTTTTGAGAGACTCTGATATATCATGAGGCAGAACATGTTCCTAGCCAGTGCATTCTCCAAGTAAATCAGTGTATATGGAGGAATAAATTAGTACCTAAGAATGCACTGTCCTGTTTTCCCCTTTGTAAACTTTAATTCAATGAATTCATTATGTGGAAAACTTTTATTCATCTTGATGGTTCTTGTTTTTATATTGAAAATTAATAACTATGATAATGTTGACATACTTCTTTTTTCTTATTGTTTTCCAATTTAGAATTTTAAACAATAATTATCATGCAAATGTCGACACTTAGATTATTTGGGAGGGCATTGTGTTTGGTCACACTCATTAGGCTTTGTCTGCTTATGTAATCATGCAACTGCAGGTAATGCCTTCCCATGATACTCATGGTCAATAGAACTCTGTAGATAATTTGATTGGTCCGTACATTTTAGGGTTAAAGGAAACATTTATTACAGTCAGTAACCCACAGTCTGAACTATTCCAAAAGGATAGTAAAGGCTGTGGATCCCACAATGAGACAGAATGGGATTGATAAATTCCTTGATGCATGCTACAAGTCAGTTTTGTGCATAGCCTCGGAAAGATAGAAGATCTCTTTAAACAACAACTGGCTCATATAAAGAATGGTGATTCTTCTCAATTTGATGCACTTCTAATTGTCTATATGCACTAGACTGTGTGCCTAAGACACTGATACCAGAAATATTAGTTTGAAAAATTCCAAGTTTGCAGGTCACTTTAACTGACAATGTATTTTTTTAAAAACTCCTTAGCCGCAACTATGTGCACCTGTCATTTGCTGGAATATCTGGCATTCTTTCACTTCATACTGTTACAAACTCAAGGCATGCTTAGACAAATCAGAACAAATATAGAAATGAAGGCATGGGAAAGTTAAAGTGATATTTGTTACTGTTATTATATGTGATTAGAAACAACAAGGCACTAACAGGCACAGAAGTTAAATTGATCTTTGGAGTTCAAAATGTTTGTTTTAGTCATAAGAACAGCTGTTGATTTCTTGGATACAATATTAAGTTAATTGTATATTGCTCTATTATGTATTGAATTCATGTAACTGTTATTAGTGTTTATGATTTTGATTAATTTATGTCACATTAAAGAGATCGGGTCTCCTAAAAACACAATTAGAGTAACCCCCTGATTTTTTCGTGTTGTTTGATGTAAAACCAGTTTGTTTATCAACTTGTCAATTCTGAGGCTTGAATTAATTTGTTAACAGTATCAATTCGATGATTCTTCCTAGCAATGAATTTCCACTTACATCAATAGAAATTCAAATTTAAAAAGCACACTCAAATTAATTCCAGTCTGATTGGCTTTTTACTTCAGATTATTTTGGCTTAGAGAAGCCATATTTATTACTTCTAAGGGGTTACAATATAGATAAATCCCCCAAAAACATTGTATTCTGTTTTCGACTTATTGCATTCAATTCTGACAGTTGGTTGTTCTTTTGGTTGTCCTGTTGACATCCTCAATATATTGTCTATATCGTGCTTATGATTTGGTCTCAAGATATATGAGATATATGATCAATGAGTTTAAAAATGTGCATTTACATTGTTATACAGTACATCATGCTTTATGTCTTATTTTCTGTAGTTTATTAAATGCCACTGAAAATATGACACTGATGCAAATGGCATACTTGTTATTAACCTTTCTTAGAATTCTGAATGAAAAATATATTTCACGTGCTAAAATAGTAAAATAGTGAAAATGTCAAATTAAATAATGTTAAATTAACTTGTGTTACAGTATTACATGTAGTATACCTGTAATGTATTTTATAAATTCTCCTATATCATTACAATGACATATTTGTCATGAAATGATCAATTAACACTTGAATTTTTTAGTTTTACCATAAGCATATTAAACCACTTATGATTTTATCAATATAATATTGTGGAAACTAAAGATAGAGCATTTAGTACCATGTGAAACCAACTTAACACTCAGTAAAGTACACTCAAGAGTATGCTTTAAATGCATGGGAAAATCAACTTTAAAATATGTTCATAAGGTGCTCTCATCCACATGCAGTGACAGAGCCTTGTATTTTGGGATGAATCTCTCTTCAAAAGAAGCATAGTCAAACTACATGCATATTGGAAAGGGTATGGAATTTGGCACAACCATGAGCTTGATATATATTTTTGGGAAATATCCCAGATGTAATATACAATATGAGGCTGTATGTATGAATTTGAAAGGAATCCAAAACTAATATAAACGTCTGAATTCTGAGAGAATATAAGCAAACATTTAAAACTGTCTAAGAACACAGCACAGGACAAATTTCATGTAGTATCATGTGTATAATTAAACATTTGAGGATCAAATGTAAAGATTGGCTTGCACGGTGTACTTGTTTAGAATAATTTGTATATATAAGGATGTTTTTTTCATAAATCTAGAAATTCCCAAAAAGGAGTTAAAAATGAAAAACCTTGCCATTTGAAAAAAATCAATTATGAATGAAATACTTTACAAGATACCAGAAGACTGGCTGGATGACACAGCCAAGGAGTAATTGCTTAAAAGAATGCAGATCTGATTGTATCATTCCTATATTCTAAGTGCTTTAGGAAACATCTGTTTTGTGACATGTGTTTAATGTAGTCCAGATCCCATGTCTTATCTTAATGTTCTGAAAACAAAAAATTCTAAATTATTTAGGGGTCATTCATAATTCTTTTTAGCATTATGAAGAATATTTTAATGATGTTAAGTTTAATATGATTTAATGATTTTACAAAGGTCCATGTGCAGTATGTGTAAGTCATATCTTTCACCATGAGTATTTTCTGGGTATAAATATAGTAGTTTTTATTAAAACAATATGTTTTCTTTAAAGTGAGGTCCCCATGATAGTAAAATATCAATCCAGCTCTCTGAAAAATGATGGATTAGGAAAAATGTGATAAAGTTAAAAACCACGTTTCCAATGTTATTTTCCCATAGTGAAAACTTGTGCGATCCAATGTTTTCAGCATGATTTTGGTCATCGAAAATTGATATCTCCAAAACTAGACATTCAATACCATTCTGCTTTTGAAGATGTTTTAGACCCCCTGTTGAATAATGTTTTCATGCAATAAAAATCAGAAAAAGAAGATCCTCTTTTGAGCAAATAAGTTCCAAATTTTGAAAAAGTTGTTGACGTGCGGTCCCTATTTATAATTTTTTGAATTGTTCGGTTGATATTTTTATCATCATGGGGACTTCACTTGAAAGAAAACATATTGTTTTAATAAAAATCACTGTATTTACGCCTAGAAAGTACTCATGGTGAAAGATATGACTGTCTAAAATCACTTGCCATACAGTTGTTATATTAATTGATTGGTGGATAATATCAATTACTTATTAATATATAATATATGCTTTATTATCCTATTTTCTCTTGAAGGAGGTGCCCCAATGTCATGTTAACCCCTTTAATTATGAGACCCCTTCTTTGTAAGAAAGATGCCTCAAGAAATACAAATCCAACTCTAGCTATGTTGGTATTACTTCACATTTTTTACTTGCTTCATGAAATATAGATGTCACCCTAATATAGTTTTGTGGTGGCAGTCATCTTCCCATTGTTTCCTAGGTGAGCTCTGAGTAAACTTACACACACAGGAAATCACCTCATACAATGAAATTAGTTAGTCAAGGGAAGTCTTCTGGTTTGATCAGGTTAACCCTAAATGTACATGTTAACATCCATTAAGCATGTTAAAAGGCAGAGTGAACCACCGACCAAGAGTATTGAATCTAAGATTGATGTATTCTGTTGTTATAGTAAGTACTTTGCATTGTTATTCCGTGACATCATAATGGCCTTTCAGGAAAAGATGGATGATGATATATCCCTAGCTGTGCTAGGTTTGTAGTAGTTTGCCATGTTTAACTGTAGAATGAGATTCCAGTAGTGAAAATGCTTGATATTATGGAGTTACAGGGGTGTAATATAATACATCCCCCCCAAAATGTACACTCTCCTTCAAAAATGTGGATATCAGAAGTTCCCTTTTGTAGTGCATATGTCTGGGATTTCATTGAATCTAGCTGCAACATCCAGTTTGTCAATGCATGTG